GATCATTAGTGAATATATTGTCAATTAATGTTGCGGTATGTTCAGTTATCCTAGTTGGTCTTGTAATAAGAGGCAAAAATGATGACATAAAAAGTTGCTCACTGAATCTATTCGAAAAGTCACAACTTTCAGTTTTTAAGAGGTCAATGTTAAAATCACCCATTAAGTAAGTTATTTTTTTTGACTTATCAATTTTAGTAAGAATTTTGCTTAAATTCGTTTCAAATATTTCAAACTTTCCTTTTGGTGGCCGATAGATCGTGCCAACAACAATATTTTTGCCAACTGTTGTAATTATTTCAACGAAGAGCGATTCAATTATTCCTTCTTCGTTGAAATTAAGGTCAGGACGAAGTTTGAAATTTATATCATCAGAAATAAACATTCCAACTCCTCCGCCTTTTTTATTGTTTCTGTTTGAGGTAATGAAGCTACAATTTTCTAACTTAAAATCTGTATAGTTTTCATCATCAAGCCATGTTTCTGTTAAACTAATTATCGAAAATGAGTATTTAAGTGATTCTAACAAAAATTTGAAAGAGTCAAATTTGTTTACTATACTTCTTATGTTTAAATTCAAAATAGAAAATAGGTTATTATTACTATTTGGTATGTCACACGAAACATCATTTGGAAGGTAGTATTTGCATGTAATATTATCAATGTTAGGAAGCATGTTGTTGTCGTAATCAACATTATCAGTAGTTGTGTGTGCGTTATCAAAAGGGTTAAATTTAAGTTGCATCAATCTATCCATATCCTCATCACTGGGAAGTCGAGAAAAATCTCCAAAAGTAAAGTTAAAGTTTATATCATCTATTGAGCTAAAAGGTAGCGAGTCGCTTAAGCACAAGTGGCATGTTTCGATTTCCGTTTGTTGACATGTGAGAGGCGATTTAATGCAGATATTCTTAGCATGAAACCACCTCCCACACAGCACACAAACAATGCCGCGTTTATCAATGGCTATTTCACATGCAGAGCATATTTTTTTGTTTATGTTTATAGAAGCCATTTAATTTTTTAATCAATTAGATAATAAAATGCGTACTAAATATAATTGAGCGATAATACCTTTAATTATTATGGGGAATAAACTCCACATTGTTAATATAAAGTTTATCACGAACCAAACGCACTCTCTGCTTTGCCGCCTTTGCTCTCCTCATCTCAGGGTAGAGGGTTTGACGCACTTTTTCAATCTCTTCAGGAAACTGTTCGGAGATACCGATCTTTGTTCCCCTTAATTTTTTCGCATTGAAGCGAATTTTCTCCCGATCGGGGAAAAAATTAAATTTTGCAACGATGGCTCTCGGATTTCTGTGGCCATCGCGTTTCCTACCAACTCTGTGCGCTCGATCGATCTTGATGCTGCTTCTTGCTTCTGGCATATCAAGTTTTTCCTCCAACAAGCTATAGATCACTTCAGTGCAATCTTCCTCTTCTGCTTCATCAATATTGTGGAACAACAGGTTGTCCCGCATTGATCTCGCTTTGAGGTCGACCACACTGTCTTGTAACCGCCGATTCGAATCTTCCAGTTCCTTGATCCGTGAGTAGTTTTCTCGCTCCGTCTCCTTTCTTTTCACCATTTCCTCCTTCAAATCACGAATTTCTCCATGCGCAAACTCGATTGATTCTGTTAGGCTTTTTACACTTTGCTCAACAGATAATATACGCTCATTAATCAAATCGAGCGTCTCTAATTTCACTAGCACAGTCTGTATCATTTTGTAAAGCTCGTCAATCTTGCTCACTTCGTCCATACTTTCTACTTTTGTTTCCTTCATCGCCTTAGGTGTCACATTATCGCTCTTTTTAGCTTTATTTGGTGAGTTTTGGACAGATTTTGCAAGTTCTTGTGCACTGCCTCTCAAAGGTTGTTGTCTCTTCGACATGATATATGATAACTTATACACAGAATTTAACTGTACTGCTGACGCCTCGCCCTCGGAACATGAGAATATTTTTTATTTTACCCTCAACTATAGATATTTCGCAAATTACAGATTTCGCAAACTGCAGATTTCACAAACTGCAGATTTTGTTTTGTTTCATAAACTACAGTAAGCCCTGCCAAAACCTCAACATTTAAATAAAAAAACTCTTTAAAATGATAGCTAAATACATGAAATCGTACTTAAAACAAGCACACACTAAAGAGCCTGAGAAAACAGGGATAAGCAGCTACCAACTATTGTTGAATTTTAACAATTCTCCTAGGAATATTGACAAACATTGTGCATATATTTTGAAAAAAATGGCCTTTCAAAAAACCTAAGGGTCATTCCATGCTAAATTGACTAAACTTCCTGCACAGGCATTACAGATTTAGTTGATTTTTGGTACACTTTTAGATCATTATATAATTAGAATTTGTGTGAATTTTTGCCAGATGACATTAAGTATTTCAGGAAATATAAGCAAAACACTGCGTGATTGTCAATGGCGGAAGTCGCCATTTTGACAGAATTTGTAATTTCAGCATAATTCGCACATCAATATCTCGTTTATCACTGAACATATAAAGACAAAAATTGGTAGAGTAGTAAATCTGAGACTGCTCTTCTAAACCAATATATCGTTTAATGTATGTGATGACGGATGTCGTAAATAACGGGGGATCAACATACTGGCAGAATGGAAAAAATACAAAATCGTCATAGATTTGAACTATAATATCATTATTGTCCTCTGTCTGGTTCGATGTTAACAAGCGACCTAAAAATTGGTGTTTTCACTAATTCAGCAATTGAATTCAAATGTAAACAAACAAATTCTGAATTGCATGAAGCACAGTAACTAAGCCGGTGATTTTGTTATCAATCTCCTAGTCCTTTTCTAGTATTCTCTATGTCTGCCAAAAAGTCACAAATGCGAGAAATCATTGATATAAAACATTCATTTTGAGTCTTTATACCGTCCATGTATATCGCGTGATGAACAATATTAATATAATTCTTTGTTATTTATATGCATGTCAATCACGCCAAAGTGACTTCATCAGAGTGTTAATTGTCTTAATATTAATTAAAGCTATTTGATATTTTTCGACTATGTATTTATGAATGTACTAGAGTAAATTGCACACAGCTGAATTACCTTAATAACAACAACTAAATAATAGCTGTTAGGCTATATTTTACAGTTTATAGTACTGCAGATCAGCTGTTCCCTTAGGGAGTGTTCATTATTTATGGTTGGGGGTTGGGGGGGTGAAATCATGGGGGGCTGGGGCAAAAAATGTTTTTTGGGGGGTCACCAGAGTTTGAGGAATAAGTTTGAGGGTCATGAAAGTTTTAGTTTTGCCAAATGTTTTGACCTTGTTAAAATATCAGTAGAACATGAACATGAAAATTTTGAATTATTAATGGCTGCAAGTTTACAGGAGCTTTTGCACTATTACTAACGTCATAAAATCAAGACTTAATTTTTTAACTAATATTGTACATACCATATTTAACATTTGTACTGTGTCTTACATAAAACAGAGGGGCATAAAGGTTTTTGGTCTTTTCCCTAGGGGGGGAGGGGCCTCATGTGAGTTTTGCCATTGCGAGAGGGGAGTCATGTAGATATTGAGAGGGAGGAGGTGTGAAATGCTTCCCCCCCCCCAACCATAAATAATGAACACTCCCTTAATACCTCAGTTCACCCATAGATGGAACTAGAGAACGCCTGTCCGGCATCTTGTACAAACTGATTTTCTCAAGGTTAAAATACAAATCAGTTTTTAACTATTTTCAACTTGAATACGAATGAGACACCATGGTCAATTGTAATAACAATCTAAAAATTTGTTAAAGCTGTCTTGTAAAGTTTGTATTGTTTAATTCGACCCTTTGTGATCTGCAATGGCTCTTGCCCGGTACATAGCGATGCTCAAAAGGAATCCAACATTCATCTTGTGTTGATGGCCATACGAACGAGTGGATTGTAGTGCCGGGATTACGATATCTCATAAAGTTTATGAGGACGTCTTCATTTTCATGCGATATATCTTCTACGACACCCAGGTACCAGGCTTTGTCGTAAACTACTGCTAAATACTGACCATGTGTGAACAATTGAGATGCTTGTGCCTGAAATGAACTTGTTAATTTAACAGATGTTCCATCCACATCTGCTGGCATTATTAACTATTCTTTGATGTTGCGAAGTTTCAACTTTAGAACTCTACATTTTCGTTGGGAAAGATGCAATATGAAAAACTGGAAGATGATCTGATATATCACTGAAAACTAATCCATTCTTACTGGATTAAATTTGTTCTAGATCATTAGTGAATATATTGTCAATTAATGTTGCGGTATGTTCAGTTATCCTAGTTGGTCTTGTAATAAGAGGCAAAAATGATGACATAAAAAGTTGCTCACTGAATCTATTCGAAAAGTCACAACTTTCAGTTTTTAAGAGGTCAATGTTAAAATCACCCATTAAGTAAGTTATTTTTTTTGACTTATCAATTTTAGTAAGAATTTTGCTTAAATTCGTTTCAAATATTTCAAACTTTCCTTTTGGTGGCCGATAGATCGTGCCAACAACAATATTTTTGCCAACTGTTGTAATTATTTCAACGAAGAGCGATTCAATTATTCCTTCTTCGTTGAAATTAAGGTCAGGACGAAGTTTGAAATTTATATCATCAGAAATAAACATTCCAACTCCTCCGCCTTTTTTATTGTTTCTGTTTGAGGTAATGAAGCTACAATTTTCTAACTTAAAATCTGTATAGTTTTCATCATCAAGCCATGTTTCTGTTAAACTAATTATCGAAAATGAGTATTTAAGTGATTCTAACAAAAATTTGAAAGAGTCAAATTTGTTTACTATACTTCTTATGTTTAAATTCAAAATAGAAAATAGGTTATTATTACTATTTGGTATGTCACACGAAACATCATTTGGAAGGTAGTATTTGCATGTAATATTATCAATGTTAGGAAGCATGTTGTTGTCGTAATCAACATTATCAGTAGTTGTGTGTGCGTTATCAAAAGGGTTAAATTTAAGTTGCATCAATCTATCCATATCCTCATCACTGGGAAGTCGAGAAAAATCTCCAAAAGTAAAGTTAAAGTTTATATCATCTATTGAGCTAAAAGGTAGCGAGTCGCTTAAGCACAAGTGGCATGTTTCGATTTCCGTTTGTTGACATGTGAGAGGCGATTTAATGCAGATATTCTTAGCATGAAACCACCTCCCACACAGCACACAAACAATGCCGCGTTTATCAATGGCTATTTCACATGCAGAGCATATTTTTTTGTTTATGTTTATAGAAGAAGAACATGAACATGAAAATTTTGAATTATTAATGGCTGCAAGTTTACAGGAGCTTTTGCACTATTACTAACGTCATAAAATCAAGACTTAATTTTTTAACTAATATTGTACATACCATATTTAACATTTGTACTGTGTCTTACATAAAACAGAGGGGCATAAAGGTTTTTGGTCTTTTCTCTAGGGGGGGAGGGGCCTCATGTGAGTTTTGCCATTGCGAGAGGGGAGTCATGTAGATATTGAGAGGGAGGAGGTGTGAAATGCTTCCCCCCCCAACCATAAATAATGAACACTCCCTTAATACCTCAGTTCACCCATAGATGGAACTAGAGAACGCCTGTCCGGCATCTTGTACAAACTGATTTTCTCAAGGTTAAAATACAAATCAGTTTTTAACTATTTTCAACTTGAATACGAATGAGACACCATGGTCAATTGTAATAACAATCTAAAAATTTGTTAAAGCTGTCTTGTAAAATTTGTATTGTTTAATTCGACCCTTTGTGATCTGCAATGGCTCTTGCCCGGTACATAGCGATGCTCAAAAGGAATCCAACATTCATCTCGTGTTGATGGCCATACGAACGAGTGGATTGTAGTGCCGGGATTACGATATCTCATAAAGTTTATGAGGACGTCTTCATTTTCATGCGATATATCTTCTACGACACCCAGGTACCAGGCTTTGTCGTAAACTACTGCTAAATACTGACCATGTGTGAACGATTGAGATGCTTGTGCCTGAAACGAACTTGTTAATTTAACAGATGTTCCATCCACATCTGCTGAAATTTGCCGGATTTGTAGAGAATCAGAACGGACTGAAATCAGAACTCCTTGTTCCTGCTATGGTTTTGGCATCATCCAGACATGGCTCTAAGACCATCTCGCATTTCTCAATTTCCTCAGTGCTTATGAAAAGCATTTCGATTCCCGAAATGTTAGCTTTTGCCCACAAAAAGAGTTCTTTAGCATTGAGAATGTGATTCCCTGTGGTAGCTTGAAGGCTAGCTCTGGCAACTAGACGCTTAATGGTTCCATCGATACCATCGCATGGGCTTTTCCCATGACTTTTTGCAAAAAAATGCCATTCTGCCTTCACCCCGAAATCCTCCTCATGGTAGCATAAATCAGTTAACTCTTTATCATCCGGCGATAAATTTGATATTTTTCATTGAATTACTTCTGATGAAAATATATCGACGAGTATTCACCCCCCTTTAAAACCGAAACCACCATTGGAATCCTCAAATAATAACCTTTCGAACGGAGGGTCAAATGCCGTCATAACATTACACAAACCAAAACAATTGTATATTTTACTCACCGCTTGGCCAAACATTTTGAATTTGATATCAAGAGAATCTTGAATATATGTCTTGAACTCTTCGGTATTCGCCTCATGTCAATATAAGTAAAATACTCCTTGTATTCAAGTGCTTTCATGTAGAAAATTTCGTTTGAATAGGGCCACTTGAAATATTTATTTTGAATTTTTCAATATATCGGGTTTTTACTCGCACGCGCGTGTCTCATGATAAAATTATCCAATAAGGAGCTCCTGTAGCCCCATGCACGTGGAAATCACGCTGTAGGGGTAATTTGACCTTTAGAATCGATTTCCGACGTTTCCCAAGTGATGGGATGTAAGCAAGCAATGTTTTGGCAAATCTAAAATGAATTTCCGGTTGAAGCTCTCGCGTAAAATTTGGATATTTTGAAATACCAAAATAAAAGATGCAAATCTGTAGATATAAGCTTGAAAATAACACTCTAAATAGTGTTTTTGATTGTGAATCGAACAAGACTATTACGAAAAAGATATCTTCAAAGGGGCCGAAGTTATGGTTGGCGAAAGGTATGCCTTAGTAAACATTGTTTACATATTTCGGGATTACTGTGTAATTGCTGCCGCAGGCAGCACACTATTCTTGACGATGTGTTTTTCTCGCACCAGTCCGTTTCCGGCCGAGTTATGTATAGCCGAACGACAACTCGATTTAGCATGTACGGATTTTCAGATTTATGACGTATTTTGACGTCACAGAAATTTAAATAACATACTCCAGATCGCGATTTGACTTTCCGAATACCCTGGCTGAGAGTCGCGAACACCACCATGGATTATTATAATTTGTAAATATTAAACACGTTGTCTCGTGCCTGTTGTAAATTTTGATTCCAGCTTGCTGCAAATTTTATGTCTTGCTTGTCTGGCTGTTATCGAAATATTTTTTCTACGTCTGACTGTTTATCGAAGATATTTTTCAAGGTAAGATGATTAGATGAAAGTTTTGTCAAATATATAACAATTTGTTTTGGTCGAATTTAATAGTTTTATCCATCGAAACGAATGAATCAACTGTATTTTTATTTTTATTTTTTTTAGGTGCTGCCGTACAACTCTTCATATAAACAAGTGGTGTAAAAAATCTTTTTGAGCTTGTAGAACATCGTACTTCAAGGTATAAATAATCACAGTGATAATTAATTGTTTTTAATTAAATATCGTTATTATGGGAATATCAATTGAGCAGTATCGTGCCCGCATTGGATCACATAATTGTATACGAATGAAAAATTGCCCGACTTGTTTGCAAGATAGCTTTCATCGTATATTGTTGATGTTATTTCAATTGGTTATAATAATGGTCATTACGTTCATAATATTAATATGTGTTCGTATGTGTTACTTGAGCATATTTTATGTGTCACCACTACATCCAAATTTAGCAAGCCATTGTGACTTTGCTACACAAATTCAGCATGCCATTGTGCCACTGCTACAAACAAAATCGGCAAGCCATTGTGCCACTGCCTCACAAATAAATCAGCAAGCCATTGTGCCACTGCTACAAACAAAATCGGCAAGCCATTGTGCCACTGCCACACAAATAAATCAGCAAGCCATTGTGCCACTGCTACAAACAAAATCGGCAAGCCATTGTGCCACTGCCACACAATCAAATCAGCAAGCCATTGTGCCACTGCTACACAAAATAATCAGACCATTTTGCTTAAAACGTTTTAATCAAGTGATGGTGTTATTCACTCAAATGTCAGGCTACATTGTGTATGTTCCACTGTTGTTGAGAATGGCAAATGATGTAGAGGAAAATCCTGGACCCACAATATATGATGTGGTTGATCCAACTAAAACAATATGTGCAGATTTTAGTCAGGGAAATACAAAAAAGTTTCGACAAAATGCTGGTAAACAATGTTTAGCAATGTCTTTGACTGCGATAATATATAATCATATCACAAATGCAAATGCATGGGATTCAACTGTATTAAATTCCATACTGTGTGCTGGAAATAACCTTTATTCTTTTATAAGCAATTCTGTTAAGAAAAGCTATTTGCTTTTAACTGACGTGCCTGAAATGGTTTCGGTTTTTGATGGCATTTATTGTATGCAATATGGTGAACCGTTTGCTGGTGACTTATTCATGGCAAATACTGCTCTACCTTATTATTCTATAGAGAATGCTCTTAATAATCTGTTTATGGAAAATTATCAACATTGTATGTTGACGATTGGTTGTAATACTGTTGCAATTTTTAAGACTTCTGAAGGAACCTTTAAAGTATTTGATTCTCATTCAAGAGATTTATATGGGATCCCACACCCTTTTGGAAAATGCATATTAGCATCCGTTGATAGTATAGAAAGCCTGGTGATATATTTCCAGAGTACCATACCTCCGGGTAATGAAACACCCTTCGAAGTTAAAGGAGTAACTGTTCAGTTAAATTCTGATATAACACAAATAAGTGGACTTGCTTCAAGTGAAAGTGCAAAAGAGCATGTGAAACAAAAGTATTCAGAATTAACTGAGAGTCAGAAACAGACTAGACTTGAAAATGCTAGAAAGTATAAAAAAGCAAAGCAAGCAGCAGAAACTGAAACTGAAAAACAAACTAGACTTGAAAATGCTAGAGAGTATCAAAAAGCAAAACGAGCTTCAGAAACCGAGAATGAGAAACAAACTAGACTTAGAAATGTTAGAAATTATGAAAAAAGAAAACAAGGACAGGAAACTGAGATTGAAAAGCAAGCATGTCTTGCCAGTGCCAATCAGAACAAGAGAAAACGTTTGTGTTCTACTCACATTGTAAGCCAACAGGATTATTTAAACAAATATGACATTGAAAAAGATGGTAGTATTCATGAACAGAGTTGGGCCCAATTTAACATTAATAAATTTTATAAATCTATTCAATTTTTTATTAATCAATGCACTATATGTCATGAAGCATGGCCACTGAACTCTAAACCAAGGTCACCTGATTGTTATATATGCTCTCGATGTGCTCGAGACACAAAATCTCCCAGAAAGTTCTCACTTGAAAATTCAATGATTCCTTCTCCAGTGCCAACTGAGTTACAAAATTTAACTCAAGTAGAGGAGATGTTAGTTGCTCGTGCTCTTCCTATCATGAGAGTTTACATTAAGCCTGGTGGACAACGAGGTTACTCAGGTCATTGTGTTAATTTGCCGCAAAATGTTAAGGAACTTGCAACATCATTGCCAAGATATCCCAAAGATTTGTCCGTGATTATTGTCAAAGTCAAAGGTAAAGATAACTCGTTTAGAGATGTTGCTGTGAGAAGAGAAAAAGTACATAATGCATTATTATGGCTTGTGCAAAATAATCCTCATTATGCTGAATTAGAAATTAATGAAGATGCACTAAACTCTTTACCTGAAAATGGCATTCCAGCAGATCTCATGACAGTTGAGACTGAAAATGAAATAATCTCAAATGATGATGCTATGTCAGATTTGGGGCCACCCACTGATAACCCTTCTGAAGATATAGTGTATAACAACTCGACAGACATGAATAGTTTCTTGCCTGTTGGTGAACAGCAGGAACAAGAAATAGAAGCAGTTAGAAATCAGCTTTCTGCAAATGAACCGATACCATGGCCTGCTATTGAATGTGAGCCATTAAATGAATATCAGATATCACATCTGGCCACTATGGCTTTTCCAACATTATTTCCTGATGGGAAAGGTGATCCCACTAATCAAAGTATCTTGAGGAATGTTCCCCTTCAAGAAAGAATTAAGCATCTTTTGAAATTTTCTGAATTTATTGATGGTAAATGGGTATATCGTTTTGCTAACCACCCTAGATTTTCATACTGGGCATTCAATATGATTCACAGGAAACGTATACTACAACAAAGTGGAATATTCATTAAACAAAATCCAGGTGAAGCACACCTCACTATTGACGAGCTACGTGAAATGGCTGCAAGTGACAACTCAGCTTTATTGATGTCCAAAGTGTCCAGATACATTGGCAATATTGCAGGTACTAATGCTTACTGGAATAAAGTAAGAGAGGAACTCAAAGCTATAATAACTAATGTTGGAGCACCAACATTGTTCTTTACTTTCTCATCAGCAGATATGCACTGGCCTGAATTACATGCTCTCTTTGGAGCAAAGACCGGTAACGCTACCAGTCAGATCAGACGACAAAATGTGATCAACAATCCCCATGTTGTAGAT